AGAATATGGCTTTTGAGCCGCCCTTTTCTGAACAATGCTTTTGAAAGTTGCCAGGGATGAACTCAAACACATTGATCAAATCTTCAAATGCAAAACCTTCAAATCACCAAATTTCAGTGTCCAATGTATTTCACAGCACTCTCCCCATGGATAATCCATTGGATCGTGATGACGAGCGAAAAGAAAAGAGCCGATAAAACGAATACTTTAATCAATTTGGAGGAAAAAGCGAAGAGTGTCTATTTTGAGAATTATCGATCACAATGGGAACATCAGAGGATCGATGATAAGAAGTAAACAATGAGAAATTGTTGAAAATTTGGTGACAAGTTATGATGTTTTCTAAAAGGTGAATAATTTGGGAAAGTAATCTTCTTTTCGTAATCTTTCCTTCATCCGTCCAACTTAATTTGGATCTCATACAATTTCCAGCTTGATTTCTCATCGAATGAGTTCAAAACCAAGTGAATCGGGTAAAAGCCGAAGGAAAGGTTACGGTAGTTCCCCAAATTGGCTATCTTTTAGAAAACAAAGAAACGGTAATCAAAGCCTAGCCGGGTTTTTAAATCAGAAAACAATTTTAGTCTAAAGAAACCCAATCTCATTGCGAATTTTTGGCAAAAAGGAAAAGTTGCATGTCTGTCAAATGCTTCGACTTGATAAAGAATTAAAATTATTGTTAAAATGTTTGTCTTAACCTTTATTTTGATGCATTTCTTGGTACAAAGTACGATTTTGAATCCAAATTCTCGTTTATTTATTCATTTACAAACAAAAACATTTCGTCTCGTTTCGCACATTCGTCTCCCAGGTGCAGTGTCTCCATCCGTGCCACATTTTCGAACACCCAATGTCCGAGCAAGTATTCCCAGCACCCGAACAACCGTCATCACCATCTAGGTGCTCGAAATTTGCAGCTCCGACGAGTTTTGATCCGAGAACGGCCTGGAAATTCGTTTTTCAACCTTGTCAGTCTTTCTGTTGTATTGTAGCAGTTAAAGCTAGCGCAAGGCAATCTCTACTACTTTTATTATGTTGAGAATTTGAAAATTTTGTCAGTTAGGCAGCTTTTATTCAAGCATCCTGTAGCACAGGTCAGTTCTGGGCCTCAATTATTCCAATAGAAGCCCAGCACTAGAGCATTTTTAGTAACAAGATATCATGAATCTTTTGATCTAAATCTAGCCTGCCTGCAGTTCTATTAGGCCGGCCGATCAGTCCTTGGACATTGCATTTAAAAAGAAATATTTAGAAAAAACCAATTCACCGATTACAACCATCGGATTTGTTTGGAAATGGATCCGAATTGTCTTTAGAAGATAGAAAAATGAAATAATAAACATTTTCTATTCACCAATTGTAGGTCAATTGGTGAATTTGTAATTTACAAAAAAAGTAAAAAAAGTGTCCAAGGACTTATCGACTAACCTAATATTTGAACAACTATCCTATTTTAAGCTATCTGAATGCTTTTAATAACCTGATTTGGTGCCGTCATTGTCTGTTGAACGATCAGAGCCAAAGCAATGAAAAATAGAAAAAGAAGAGATTTCATCTTTATTTCAATTGAAATTGAGGGAATTGTGCCAGAGATTGTAAATTTCTGCTTTTAAAGCCAAAAGCTTTCACTGATAAGGACTCAATTTGGGTGTTTTTTTTGGCTCAAAGATGACAAATCGCTTCTGCTTTTCGTGTTTATTCGAAGGTGGAAATGAGAATGAGATTCGGGAAATCAGCAAGGTGATTTGAAAGCACAAAAATTGCTGTAACAAGTCAATTCATTTGGTGAGATTTCACTTTCAGAAGATTTATGCAATTTGGATCAGATCAGAATGCGAGAAAAATGACTTATTACAGAAAAATGAAAAAAAGACTTCAGAAGAATTCAGCTTATAAAAAGCAAAAATTCTCTGGAGGTATGGGGAATTGAACCCCAGACCTCTCGCATGCTAAGCGAGCGCTCTACCACTGAGCTATACCCCCACTGAAACCAGTGGTCAAGTTCCATGAGATATTCCATATTCACCAAATCAAGCCAAAAAAGGTAAATGCAAATTCCAAAGTCTTACTATTTAGGTTGTTCGGATATAAACAAACTCAGCTAAACTTTTTGTTGTTGTGAGAAAAGCTTTTAAAACATGTCGTTCTCTATTTAAAAGTACGTTATCTTGTGCATATTTGGAATGTTTTTAAACGGATAATTTCTTATTTGTAAGGTCTTTTTTTCTTGCTTTAGATGACCAACTATCAGTCTATGATATTCTTGTATCGTTGTCGCTTCAGTATTTCTTCTTGGGTTTGCGGTTGAGATTTTGAGCTTTTCTGCATTTCGTTTTAATCGGACGCGCTCAGATCGGGAAGGTCTGAAATTTTTTTGGAAATCTGGACAACCCAGGTTTACAGTTGTACTTCAAAAACTATCAAATGCGAAATTTTCAGAAAAATCCTTGTTTGGAGCGAGTTTTACATGAAATAGTGTCAGTTTTAACCTCAAAAACTTTGATAAGTTGCAATTCCTACCTTGTTTTGACTCAAAATTCAAACTTTGCTGAAATTCATATAAGTTAATGTTGTACAGTGCGTTTCAAATTCTTAAACGCACCCTCTAAAACCGCGAATTTTGCATTTTGACCGCCGCTACAACTATTAATCTTTTTCTATTAGAAAAAGCATGTTTTAAAACCTAAATAACACGAAAAAGAAGCATACTGTGAAAAGTAAAAATTTTCAAAATAGAAACTTTTTGCTAAATCAACCGTTTCAAATTCTTAAACGCACTATGAAAATATTTTTATTTATCGAGACAAATTAAAAATCAAAGGTTAAAAATCGAAACTAATAATCTGTACACGCACGATAACGATTAATTACTTGAAAAATGCGGCCTGGCATTGAATTGATGAAGTTTTGAAGAGCAGAGAAGTCGAGATCGCTCCAGGCCGAAAAAATTGCTGGTTTAAGTGTAGAAACGTCTTGAAACTGACGATGATTCTTGTAGACAGCTCGGACAAGTATTCCCCATAAATTTTCTATCGGATTGAGATCAGGAGACTGAGCGGGCCAGTCCAAAGTTGCAATGTCGTTGTTTTTCAGCCAGTCTCGGGTGTCTCTGGCTCGATGAATTGACGCGTTGTCGTGTTGAAACACATAGGGAATGTTTGGATTTAGGAGCAAAAATGGCAACAAGCAATTGTTCAAGATATCTATCTAGTCATCCGATTCGAAACCATCTTCAGAGCGACCGTTCCATCAGCACAAAAGGCGGCCCAAACCATCACAGAACCACCGTCAAAGTTTCGAGTTCCAAACACCATCGGATCACGTCGAAGATCCCTCAAATAGTAGTCAACGCCATTGGGACCATCCCAATTCCATTTCTTCTCATCGGAAAAGATCACCTAAACGCAAAAAGAAATAATAAAACATAAGCGGCTTTCTAACCATAGACCAATCCTGATTCATGAGCCTTGGCGAACTCCAATCGAGTTTTCTTGTGCAAAAGCTTCACGACCGGTTGCGTGTTCAATAATTGTCGATCGATATGTGGATTTTCCGTGACGGCTCGCCAAATTGTCGACTTCGAAGCGTCGATTTTCAGTTCCGTTTTCACTTCATTGATCGTTTTTCCGTGGATTTTGTTCACAATATGGTGTCTAGCTCGCGGTGTAAGCTTTGGTTTTGGTCCTGGCTTCTTCTTTGGTGCAGAAACGAACTCGGACTTTCTATAATTTCGCACGGCAGAGTCGGATCGGCCCAAATTTTTTGCGATTTTCCTTATTGAGTCGCCAACCCTCAAACGAGCATCAATCTGGCCTTTATCATAATCCGTGAGCAGCTTTCCGTGTGCCATTTACCTGGAAATTAACAAAAATTATAAATTTAATAAAAAAAATATGCCCAACAAAACGAAAAATTTCAGACAACAACAGCAAAGGCGGGTGTGTTTAAGAATTTGAAACGGTTGATTTAGCAAAAAGTTTCTATTTTGAAAATTTTTACTTTTTACAGTATGCTTCTTTTTCGTATTATTTAGGTTTTAAGACATGCTCTTTCTAATAGAAAAAGATTAATAGTTGTAGCGGTGGTCAAAATGCAAAATTCGCGGTTTTAGAGGGTGCGTTTAAGAATTTGAAACGCACTGTATAACAGAAAATAGTTTGTGCCGAGATTAAAAGAAAAAACTGATCACAAACGGTTTTGATGTCATTTTTGGAAAGAATTAAGCTTTGAATTGAACTCCACTCAAAGCTCAATCGGCTTTTATAGCTCTTTGAATTTATTAGGTTGATGCAAAAGTCTTTTTCATTTTTTTCGTACTTCTTTTGAAAAATAACAAAGTCATCAATTAACCTATGGTTTGCTCTAAATGAAAAGTGTTTATTGTTCAATTTCCCATCTTTTTAAGTCAATTTGGGTTCACTTTCAAGCAAATTCGAGAGTGAAAACGGGTTTTTCATAAAAATCTATAAAAACCTCTATAAAGAAATTGGCTGAATCAATTTCTCTGAAAATCTGAAAAATATCTAACTTTTTGTGCTCTATCTTTTATTTATTAACATCAAGATTGGTTTCCTTAGCTAAAGCGTCTAAAATGCATCATCGAGCCGTCGCCTTTTTTGACTACCCGACTTCAGGCTCTCAAAAAAGTCTAGACATAAGACATTTTAAACTCGTTTTAATGTCATTTTGCAGAAAAATAATTGGCCTTTCGAATGCAATAAACCGTTGTTCAATTGGTGCATTTGTTACTTTTTAACGGAAGTACGAAAAAAATGAAAAAGACTTTTGCATCAACCTAATATTTAGTGTGCATTTCCATTGTGCAATGTAAAGATTTTGGAAAAAACTCAACACTTTACTTTTTTGTCGTATTGGATAATTGCACAATCAAAAGTCTGAGTGGTTTTTTCGTTTAATGCTTTGTGTGTATCAAGTTTTATTTCGAGTTTTAGATACAAAGCTTTCAAATATTTCAGATAATTTTAGACGAAATTTATTCAGCCCATGATTGGTTGTTGTCGTTGAGCTCCACGAAGGAAGTTGATGATTGGCATGTAGACTTGGTTGGCGGCACTGAAAAATACATTTTCAGTAGATTTCTATAGTTGATGAAGTGAATTTATCAAGCTTTAAGTAATAGCAACTTCATCTTTTAACTTGTAGACTCTTGTCATTAAGTGTAAACGTATTACGGTAGTTTTCTGAAATGGGGGCCCTTTAGAAAAGCAGATAAGAGAAAAGCAGTCAATGATTGTTGCTTGAGCAGTGAGTTTTCTAAAACGTCCCCCTTTTTTCTACCGTAATCTCGCCTATATGAATTTATCAAGCTTTAAGTATCAACTTCAACTTGTAACAGGTTTTGAATTCTTGAAAGCTCTTACTTGAGTCCCCAGACGAAATCCATATGGGCGAAGTTGGGAAGCTCGATGTTGTTCTGAATTTTGATTAGCAAAATTAATTGAGAGAATTTCGACCCTTTTTTCTATTTTGCAAGTATTTAACAAACCCTTAACCATTGCTTGTTCAAGATGGGCAAGAGCCAGTTCTCGATGTCGATTTTATCGGCGAACACGTCCAAATCACCCCAGAAAAGATGCGTGGGCGCGTTGATTTTCGAGAAATCGTAGAGTGGTGGGCTTGGCTGGAAATTGGCACAGATTAGGATGCAGTAATAATAATTTGTAATACATTAATTAAAAATTTAGACTGGATATGATTTTTCAGATCTAGCTGTTAGAGCTGTAAAAATAACTTTGAATCTTCCCCACCTGTCCGTATTTGGCGATGTTGAGCTGAGCGTTTCCGAAGTCGTACTTGGGCACCTGAAATCGGTAAAATGAGCCAAATTCCCAAGAACTCTCAAATTTTAATTTCAATCATTCTAATCAGAAAATCAAATTCTATTCTATTTTAGTCAATTTTTAAGATCAAAACCGACCACTCCTTGAGCATTGATGTTCTGAAGGTAATGGATGAAGTTCTGGGTTGAAGAGGGCGATGGAGTATGGGAAAGGTAGATGGGGAGACGGCTCTGGAAAAGAAGAAATACTGATTCAGATCTAAGACTTCTAGAAGTTTAACTGAAGTTAACAATGAAGAAAATGAAGTTGTTTGCTGTAAAATAACAACGACTCACGATGTTGAACTGGGAAGCACTTGGCGAGCCGCTGGTGAGGAAGAGGAAATTGTCGCACACTGGTCCCGATTGGCACACCTGGGTTCTAAAATGTGAAATATTTTGTGATTAAGCTATTAGGGTGATCAGGTCTCATATAAAAGATGGAATTCTGAAAGAATTTTGGATACTGGCATTGCAGGATGCTGCATTTAGTGTTGCTCTCTACAAAAACAAATGATTTTCTCAAAAACCAAAAGAGCTGACAGTTTTTTGTTTAGATATTTAAAAACTAGGCACATTTTTCATTAGATTCATGAGTTAGCGTCAAAATTTAAACTTTCATTTGTTTCATATAAGACTTTAAACTTGGCTCTCGAAAAAGTGAAATTTGTCAAAAATGTGCTCATTTTTGTCAGCGAAGATAAGCTCGCATTTGCAATAATGGAGCTTAAAAATCACTAATTTTATAGTAATTAACTCTAAAAACGTATTAATGCAGAAAAAGACGATTTTTAGAGACCCCAAACTTGAATCTAACTGTTTTTCAGCATGGCATTTTTTGTACTGTTCGGCTAGGGTTGTCAAAGTCATTAAAAAGTCATTAAATGTTACGTAAAAATTACGCGTAGGTTTTATGATCAATTGTTTTTTTCAGCTTAGGTTAATGTATTGTCTTAGAAAGCGAAAAAGATGCATTAAGCGCAACACACAATAAATGCCGCACCCTGTATTTTGCACAAGCCCTTACTTGAGTTGGTTGACAAGATCGGATCTTGGGATGAGTTGACCGGCACCGAACAAGGAGAAAAGTTGCTGAAAATGGGATTTCTTGAATAAGCATTTCAATTCAAACATCTTGTGTCAAGTTTCCGAGAGTTTTGGCCATTGTGAAGAGGGGTCCTTTCACGTTGTTCATCGTGCCCAATGGCGCCAAAGCGAAGTGGTTTGCAATCTGAAGATTGAAAGGTTTCAAAAGAGCAGGACTGGTTACAGTATTGAAATTAGAATGTTCAAGTATATGAGATAATTGAGAATTACAGCATTAGATTGAGAATTACAGTATTTGATGACTCACCTTTTGAGCAAAGGTCGGATCCTCGGAGAGACGGGCGAACATCATCAAAGCGCCCTGGAAAGTGGAAAGTTGGCTTTTGAAAGATCTTGTTCAAGTTTTTAAAGCTTACTCAGTTGATTATCATGATACAGTAGTTATTTGAGCAATTGCACTAAGTTATACTGCGATCCAGCCACAGAATAGCAAAACTGAACTTAAAAGAAAAGATTGTAAGGCATTATAGTCACATTCTAGAAAGCCCTACTGTAGCCAGTCTATTTCAGATTATTGTAGCCTATAGAATGCTTAGTTTGCAAACTAACTTGAGAGTGTCCGATGTAGTTGAGCGATTGCTGGTTGGTCATTTGCAAGATGTAGTTGACGAAAGCGGGAAGAGTGCTAGCAGCATCATCAAAGCTGAAAAATGGATCAAATTGAGCATTGATCTAAGTTTAAAAACAAATCAGACTTATATCTTGTCAGATTTGTCCGTTATCTGTTTTCAAAAACTTACGAGAACTTCCAAAAGGCGGGATTTTGTGGGCTCAACGTCTTATGTCTCATTCCATACGTGTTTCCGCGCAAGTTTCCGAGCCACACATCAAAGCCAGCGTCGGCGAAGAGGAAAGCTGAAAAATTGAGTTAAATTGAGCCAATTCCTTTTCAGAATAATTTTAATCATATTAAGCCACAGTAACCTTTATAGTTCTTTAAATGAACAGATATATTTTTAAATTTTAGACGGAGTCCTAGGTAGCTCAGGAGAGCGGTGGCAAGCTTTACGACTCACTGTATTAAGTCAATTTATAGCAGGAATTAGCTTATCAGTCTAAACTGGCTTATAATATCGATGATTAGCAAACGAACCGGCAGATTGTTGTGGCAAGTTGCTCACCCAGACACTCGAGTCGGCCATCAATCCGTGTTGCATGAGAACGACTGGCTTGTTGGCGGTGCGGACGCCTAAATGTCGGGATTTAGATAAATAGATTTTGGCTTTCTTAAGCTGCCAAAGAAATTTAGAAAGTTTTTACCATTTTTGCCGTTTGGAATTCGATGAAGATCGATCATGTAGCCATCAATGGTGGTGATCGTATGGACCTCGACTGCATACCCCCAACGTTGGATGATTTGAGGCTGAAAGTGGAATTGGAGATTGCAAAAAAGTCTCGGATTATAGCTCAGCTTAAAGGCTTTAAAGCTTGCTAAAAGTTTGAAGCTTAAAAGTTATAAATCAAAATTTCAAAGCTAAACAACCGTGGTCATTGAAATCTCCGGATCGGAGGAGGCGAAGATTTGAGCCGAAGCTCCGCACAAACAAAGCACACCCAAGAAAAGGAATTTCATCTGAAAAATGGAAAATTTTCAGAAACCTATTTCAATAACTTTTAACTTTAAAAAACTTTGCCTTTTCAAAAATTTCTAGCTTTCTTTTTATATTGAGCGGTTTTATTGGTGGATTCATGAAAAGCCGTCAAAATACCCCCAAAGAAAAGACAATACATGAGGCGAAAGATCGGAACAAATCGAGGAATCGGGAAAATTTGAGCAAACAAACAAGCTAAGATATAAAAACTGTAAATGGTTAGAACTCCTTATACTTTTTGTTCAAGATATCTCTGATCAAATGTTTGATAAAGCTCATAAAACTAAAGATAGTCTTATGAGCTTTATTTTTTGCAAGAAGAGCACCACCTAATGCTAATTTTGATAGTTCACAGATCCAACTTTTCCAAAAAAATCTTAAAATGATGCATATGGGTCCTAATTATAATTTTAAAGTCATGGCAGTAAAATTCAAAACAATCCTGGAAAAAAATTTGACTGAACATTTTTTCAGAAAAAAGCATAAGGGGGACCACAGGGATTTTCGAGGGTCGGACATCCAGGGGTAGAACCATGGACATAACTTTTTGTTTTAAGTGTGTTTTTTGTATGTTTTAGAACAAAACAAATAGAGTTAGAGTGATTTAAGGAAAAATAATTTTTTTCAACAACAATTCAAATTTTTCAAAAACAACAACAAACCCCCTTATGTGATTTTTTGGGGATCCGAAAAGTGGACACCAAACAATAGAGTGGCATGCAGCTCTAATAGAGAATTTACGGTATTTGGAATCATATTTTATAAACCCTTAACTTGAGGCTTTAATTTATTAGAATCATTCATAATAAAAAAAATTTGAAATTGTACAACAGATTCTAGTTGTACTGGAATGTGATCAGTGATGATCCGGCCCCCGATCGACAGGAGCGGTGTTTTATGCGTGTTTATGTGTTCAGGGACCCCGAATTTTGAAATCAAACATTTTTTTACGGCTATCCCTGATTATACAATAATCTCTTTACATTACAACAATAACTCGACTATACTATACAATAGTACTCGTTTTATTCTCACTTTTTCTCACTTTTTGTTTGCGAGTGTTCATTTCAATAAACTTTCACTTCTGTATTTATTATATTTTTGCTCATTATTTATAGAATAAATGAAAATAATAGAAGAAGGTGTAACAAGGAGATCACATTTCTTGTTGATACTCCAGTTGTTATTGTTGTTGTAATAGTGGCTGTGGTAGTGGTTGTGCTCGTTGTCGTAGTCGGAGTTGCACTTGTCGTGGTTCCACTTTCGCCAATTTCATATCTTAAATGTTCAAATTTGTATGCTTTCCGTGATAACTTTAGTATTTGATTACCCAATTTTAGGGTAAATTTCAAACGCGAATTTCTCCGCTATCCCAACCTAGAATTCTTCAAAAATTTTGGCGCAAGATACCTCTAAGAATAATCTACATAATACCAAAAAAACATGTTTTCATGGTGGCGGACGAATTTTACGATCATAAATGTTTTTGGTTTTTTGAGCTGACCGTTCTCGGTCGATCCACTACAGATATGGCTCAAATTCTAAAATTAGTTTATTTCATGCTCCTACTATATAATATCAAAAAATGAGAGAGATCTACGGTGAAATGAAAATTTACGGGCATGACAAAGTGTCGGACATTTCATATCTGACAACCTAATAACTAAAACTGTAATATCTGTTACAGGACTCACTGTAGCAACAACTCAGGTCCACATCCATCGAACGATGCACAGAGCCATTGGTAGTTCATTGAGAGACTTTTTGCGAAATACTCAATACGACAAACGCCGTTATTGCTAGTGTAACTAAAATATTTCTGATGTTGGATTCTTCATTTCTTCACTTTGTGCTTTTTGTTCCATTTCCATCATCAACCAGAACGATCAAAGATGAATTCGATGGGATATTGTTTAAAAAAGTAACAGCAATCTTTTGGAGCGTTTGTTGGGAAGGCTAAGATCTAGTTAAATGGGTTTCAAGGAGAAAATTCCCAACCAAAATAAATGTGTAATTGTTTGGCGTTGAAGGGATGGGGTTAGACAAATAAGTTGGAGCCATCAACACTCCAGAAGTCATATCAGAGCCATCTTGCCAGTATTCTAGAAGTTATTGGCTCAACAAATACCCATACAAATCGATTTACCCACCTCTCCCCCCATTTCGCCAAAAATTTTGATTTGACTGTCCAATACACTCAATGTCAATGTTGCTCAATGGTTTGGTTGAGCTGTTAATAAGTGACAATTATGTTTAGGCGAACAACAAACGAATAACTGCTTGGAAGGCACAAACAATGGTCTCAGAAAGCATTTTAACGGGGATCATCCAGATCTGTGGACTTTCATTAAATACTTGGATTTAAGGTTGACAGAAGATTGACAACAAGATGGTTGAATACAATCAAAACGACATCGAGAAGGCACGATTAGAAAACATGAATGCACAAAAGCCTTTGTGCGAAGTTTGCATTTGCCAATTAGGTTAATTTTTGTTAAAGTTTGTTTTTTCGTCGATTTATACTTGATTTACTATGTTATGATGGTTGTTCAGATTTGTTAAAACATTGATAAACTTTTTACTCAAGTTGCAATGTTGCACCAGTGTTGATTGTATTGGAAGACCAACATTGACATTGGACAGTCAAATCAAAATTTTCGGCGAAATGGGATTTCGGGGAAATGGGATTCGGGGAAATGGGGAAAAACCCTACAAATCCTGCCATTAATCAAACCTCTTTGTTGGCAGTAAAACTCTCCAGTGAGAATCGAGCTAACACTTTGAAAAGTAATAAATCTTCCAAAAATAAAAGTCGGCACGATTGTACTGGTGACGCTTTGATTGCATTTGGAAACACCGCTGAATATTTTCTGTAGCTTATGACAGTCACTACCAACGTACTTTCAATTTGTAGGATGTATTATATTGTTTTTATATGCCGACAAAAATGACCTACCCATAGATTCTGTCCTGATCTCTCAGCGAGGCCCCTCTATAGAGCTCAAAAATCGAATCTTCACTCGTCGACACTCCAATACCATAAGTGCCATCAGGGCCAATTGGATCACAATACAGCAGCGTCGTTTTATTCACTCGATTAGTCATATTGAATGGCGTTGAAAAGGAAAATTTTGGACCAAAAACGATTGCTGTGTCTGGATCTGAAAGAAAATTCTTTTGCGGCTATTTATGATTGCTTACTTATGGTGAAGATTGAATGAAAGCGGTCGACATTTCGATCGAGACGAACGATTCGAACAGCCAGTAAATTGGTAGCAATTGTCATTGGATCGTTCGTCGAATAACTAAAGAGTAGTTTTTGTTTTTCTTGTGTTTCCTCTTGGAACTGTCTTCTGTCCTAATAAAAGACAAAATTTTCCATTTTAGATTGTATGATTAACATTTTCTTTTTCTGAATACAACCCACAATGCAATCTTCTTTTATCACCACAGAAGACAGTTCCAGCATTTACAAAACCTTGGGGTAATTGGGCGACCAGTGTCAAAATCCCCATCATAAAGATTCAGATAGTATCCACTGGGAAGTCCAAAAAGAAACGCTCGAATGGCAACACTAAAAGAAAGTACACAAAAAAACGTCTCTTTTTTACGTGTTGCAATTTGTAGCATTTAAGCTATACACGACAGCATCGAATGGTTTTAAAAGCATATCGGCGTGAAGATCGATCATCTCCTCGATGCAAAGTTCTTTATAGATCATTTGCATATTCACTAGATATAGAATTCTGATAAACAAGACAAATATAAATGCTTTTACATTTGGTTGTACTGAAATTGTAAGAATATCCATTGAATGGTTGCGTTAAATTGAGATCTTCAGCCTCAAAAGTGATACTGAATGAGTCAGCGTCTGTGTAGTCTGAGTTGTATCCATTGAACAAATATCTGAAATACAGGCAATGTAAAATGTGGTTATATTACTAGATTCCATTAGTTACTTATTGACTCCTGATTTCTACATGTGATTTTCGAAAGTTTTAACGACCATTATCATTTTTAAAGTGTCCCTCTTTCAAATAAAGGCAACTAATTGCCAAATTGAGTCTTCTTGAATGTAAAAAATTGGGTTTTTCGAACGGAACAAGAAAGAAGCGCATTATAGAATGTCTTATTTGAGACCTGCAACTGTACGCAAAAAATATATCAATTCAAAAATCTGACTTATTATTAATTGTGTCCATGTAAGTGAGACGATCATTGAGAATGTCCGTATCGACTTGTCCATCCAGATAAACCAATTGATTTCGATTTGAAATTCTAAACATTTACTCTTTGGAAATTGGCCTTAGCCTTGGCTTTACATAGTTGTGTTGCAAAAAGCCGGCCGACAGTAGGTCCGTCCTCGCCCAAATCTGATATTTGCCTTGTCTCCGGCATTCAGTTGAATAAGCGCTTGTGGGCAAGAACAATCTAAACTAACACTTAATTTCTAACAGGGGAATGGCCCAAAGTTAAGGTGGCCGTTTGGGATGAGTGATACCTCATTCGATAGATCTCATGATGAATATTAATGACAAAAAAAATTAGCTGCCTATAGTAATTCTACAACGAGAAATGGGGCGGACAAAAAGCGAAAATGACGTTTTTGACCCTCCTTCGTGGGGCTGTAACTTTTTATAAATCGATATTTTTGAATATTCTTTTCTGCTTGAACTAGAACTTGAATCAAACTAAAAAGTATGAAACTTTCAAACTTTCATTAATTATGAAAACTCAAGATGTTCCTATAAAAAAAGTTCGGTAAACTTTGGCTAAAATCAGAGCTTTGAAATGCAAAATTTTATAAATACTTTGGGAATCAAATTTTACTTTTTGATTCTCAAAGTCAAATTTTACCCTTTTTTAGTTTCATTCAAGTTCTATTTCAAGCAGAAAAGATGATTCAAAATCGATTTATAAAAAGTTACAGCCCCACGAAGGAGGGTCAAAAACGTCATTTTCGCTTTTTGTCCGCCCCATTTCTCGTTGTAGAATTACTTTAGGCAGTTAATTTTTTTGGCCATCAATATTCATCATGATATCTATCGAATGAGGCATCACTCATCCCAAACGATCACCTTAACTTCGGATCATTCCCTTGTAAGTTTTATGAACGAATTGTCAAATTCATAAATAGATTTTAGCTTTATAGGAAAAGTTTTTGGTACTTCTTGATTACACTGGACGCTTTTCCTAACTTACATTTGAGGTTAAACTGAAATAACTTATATTCTACGGAAATCATCATTCCCGGAACCTTAAGACGAGTTAGAGGAAAAGGCTAGTGTAATGCATTTGTAATTCTCATACCAACAAGCACCAAGTTTTCTAGTAGCTTTCCATTCCACTTACCAATCGCCTCCACGTATCCACTCATCATAGTGAACTGTTCTGTGGAATCACTCAACAACTTAAGTTCGATTTCTTTGGAGGCATAGTAGACTGTTTGGGCATAGAGGTCATGTGGACCAACTATCTTTGTGTATGTGGCTTCCGGCTGGAAATAATATATACACGGTGCCTACTTTTTTGAATCACCGTTTCTTTGAGTCCAAAAACACGGAGTGGATCACAGCATTTCTCCGTATAAGCCGAAAGAGTGAGCACAAGTTGATGATTGGCCGGGAGATTGCCGAATTGCCAGCTGCAATTTGTGTCCGCCAAGTAGCCATAGGTGCTGTTGAAGGGATTGGGGATGGCCGAGAATGTGGCTGAGTTCGTCGCCGTCATGTCGATGAGCTGCCCAGAATTCGGGCAAGAGTTTTCAGCCGGGCTGGGTAGGGTCGAGTCTGCACGGATTAAATTTCCTCAATTTTTCCGACAAAGACACAAACCATTATATGCTTGAACGACTTGATAGAAGCGGTAAGGCTTTCCGGTGGTGAATGACCAGGTCACTTGAAGATTTCCCAAAGCCCATCCAACAGTGCCAGACATGTCACCACTGAACATGCGTAAGTTGGACGCTTTTTGTGTTGAAGTTCGATATTTTACAATATATACAATAACGCACGATAGATAAACAACAAAGTTGGATTGCCCATCTGATTCGGAACCGGTCCATATAAAACGATCTGCATCGTCCGATTGAAAAGCGTACGCCCACACGCGAATGTATTTTGAGCGTTGTGTTGTATAGGTGATTGTGCAATTCATTTTGGTTGTCGTACTTTTTGGGTAACCTAAAACGAGAGTTGCATTTAAAAATGCAAAGAAGAATTGGTGGATAGCATACCTGAAATTGAAATTGGTGAGTATCTAATATTAACTTTAACTTTAAAGCATTTCGACAAAATAAAACCTTTAACATTTTCTTAGGGAACAAAAAAATTGATTCAAAGTTTGTGGGAATATTCTAGAAGGAGAAAAATTTATCAAACTCGATTTCATTTTTTTGTCTCTCTGAACGAACCATCCGAAATAATTGTGTGAAAACCTCCCCAATCATCCAAACTGATATCC